ACCCAAGTCTCCTCCTTTCCCTCTTTGGTAATCTGGGGAAAACTCCAGCCATTGAAGAATTTTAATTTCATTTAAGTTAAGTAAAAGGTGTGCATAAATAACATATAGGTAATACTTCAATGAGGAATTTTCTTGAATGAAATCTTTGCAGCACCGAAACTGAAATCTCACATGCAAAGCACTGCTGTGTGGGGAAAAATGTGAAAATGGCTATTTTACATTGGCCAAATATAAACATCCTAAGGAATCAGATCAAGTAATAGATGTCAAAGTGCTTCAAAAACTATGAAGCATTATATAAAATCAAACATACTGCTATTGATGTTGAGTTCCAGCAACCAGCAGAAATTTGACCTTAGCATACAGAATTACATAATTTTGCCTCTGTATTCATCTACCATTTACTATTTCTGGTTACACTAACAGAAAGAGTCCTTATTAGCGTGCCTTCCCTCACATTCTTTCCCAATCCACATAATATGATATTTTCATATCTTCAAAAGTTTGTGTATAATCCACAAGCCATTAGAACAGATGAAATGTTAAATACACAGGTGAAAATAAAAGGAATGTACTTTCTCTGTATCTAGACCAGGACAATAAAAACATGAAAAACTATGCTGTCCAAAGTATGGTCCATAATCTTATGAGAGTATGGAGAGGTGAGACCGGAAGAGAAAGAACAGCACGGAAGCGGCAGAGAAAGTCCAAAGTCAAGAGGGATGTACATTTAACTTGTTCTAAGCCTGGCTGTATTATTCTTAATGTTTCTTTATTTCCTAGACTATCTAATAGAAGAAAGCGTGTCATTTCTCACAGCTCTGGGCTTTCCTTTCAAAACAGGGATTCTGACACCTGTTCTTATAAACTAGAACAGCAATATAACAATATGTAATTTTTGTTGAGCATTTACTGTGTGTCAGGTACTGTTCTAAATGTTTTACATGGATTAACTCAGTTAGTTATCACAATATCCCAGTAAGATGGGTACTTTTATTTTTTCTACTTCACAAAGGAGAAAGCAGAGACAGAGGTTAAAGAATCTGCCCTAAAGCCATAGAGCTATGAAGTGATGAAGTCTAGTCTTGAATTCTGAAACTTTCCCTAAGTAGTTCACTCCAGTGGTTTTCAAGCTACATTCTGCAGACTCTTTCAGCTCCAAAAGTTCTACTTCGAAAATGCATTTTACCCTGTTTAAAAACAGCAATGAAAACATCACAATCAAAACTTTATAGATTGAATATAATACACTAAAGGGAACCAACACATTAACTTTTTGTTGCCAGGTTATGTTGCTTCTGTGCAGCCCTTGAAATAAAGCTAGACCTGTCACCACTGAGCTCTTACTTGAACTTCTTGTAAATGTTTCATTGGTTTTGAAGGTGTAACTCTGCACTTTTTTTTTTTTTTTAACTGAAGACTACATCTGCCTGCTGAGACTGTACAGCATACAAGTTCAAGCACAAGAGTGAACAAAGGAACATACTGTCCCATTTGTTTTGTTTTGGGGGGTTTACCGCCTGATATACGTAAGGCAAGAAATACATGCTAGATAAGAATTTAAAATTTTTCCTATGTTCCTAGAATCTCTTATTCCTCTTTCTAGCTATAATATTTAATGGAATGGTATCCTGAGATGGCAGGGGAAACTTTTAGGAAAAAAAAATCCACTTCCCCCATCCCACACCAGCTCCACATTTTCACTGTTATGCTCTGGTCCTTGTGCCTATGATCCCCTGCCATTCCACTTTGCTGGATCGATGACTTCCACTCTGACTGGTCTTCAAGTTTATTGAGTCCACTGTTCCACTGGCCATGTACTATCTGCTATTTGACTGACCAATCCATTAGTCTTTATCCACTTTCACTCTTTATCCAGCTGATGCTCCGCAAGCCATCATTACAATACTTTGGCCACTATCCTAAATACCTTGGCTGCTGTCATTTCATTGCGTATCTGGCAAACCCCAACCTTGAATGAAGCCTTCTACTGGCTTTCACATTATTCTTGATGTTTCCTTATTTCCAAGAACGCTTGGAAAACTCACCTATCTCAATACCAAAGTAACTGAGCACTACTAAAGAAGGTCAAGAGAGCAGATAGGTTATCACACTATATGTCCGTGACCATCAGCTTCCATGAGGCATCAATGCTGCTAGACGATCCTACTTATCACAGTTGACAAGCTTTCTCGGCAATTACTTTTTTTCAAACAGTTTCTATTTCCTGAAACCTTGGACGTCCATCCCTCCCATCTCCGTGGCAACTCATAGCTGATTTTGCCTCCAAATTTGAGAATTATACTCATCCTATCCTTGCTTTCTTCTGAATACAAGAGGATTTTGCCCTTTTCTTTTTATTTTTTAAAGACATAGTGCTGTTCTGTGGCCCAGGCTGGAGTGCAGTGGCTGAAGGGCAGTGGTGCAATATTAGCTTACTGCAACCTCTGTTTCCCAGGTTCAAGCGATTCTCTTGACTCAGCCTCCCGAGTAGCTGGGATGACAGGCATGGGCCACCGGGCCTGGCTAATTTTTTGTATTTTTCGTATATTTGTATTTTAAGGTCTCACCATGATGGCCAGGCTGATCTCAAACTCCTGTCCGCAGGTGACCCGTCCACCTTGGCCTCCCCAAGTGCTGGGATTATAGGCGTGAGCCGCCGCACCTGGCTATGCTCTTTTCCATCTTAAGGAACGTTGCGCTATCACTTATCTTTCTTCTTTTTTACATGTAACAATTCTCCTCTTTCAACTATATCTTTCTCATGGACATTTGGTCTATTTTATCTATTGGGATTCCATCTAAAACTTCTTTGTAAAAAGGCATTTCTGCTAGAGCATGAAAACCTCTTTCCCCTAAGTATGTAAAGCCTGAAAGTCTCATAAAAGGAGGGAATACACATATAAGTAGGATAACATCAACAGGTCACGAACTAGATGTCACACATGTAACCGTGTTGTCTGGCAGCAACAATATTTTCATAAACGAAGCCCATGGCACCACCAAATTCGAAACCATCCTGATCCTTTCTTCATATGTTTTACAATTAAGAGCTGTGCTAAAACTCTATAGGCAAGAAAAGTAGCAGAATTTTTAGAGTGTTATTTTAATAACCAGTGAATCTGACAGCATGATTTTGTGTTACTAGGTCTAGATTGGGGGAGAGAAGGGAGGGAGGAGGAAGCAACAAATGTCCCAGCTACCACTTTTTTTTTAAGAGCTAAAAATACTGCAGGATAAATACAGAACCATAAGTAATACTTAAGAAGTTTTGACAGCACAGTGATGCATTTTTATAAGAAATTATCCACGGAGGGAGCCTGACATTCCCAACCCCCCAACAGTTCCTTCACCTGCACTGAACAAGCAGTTAAAAAACAAGACCATTCCTTAAATCGGAGCAGCTCTCCTGACAGCTGTTTACATTAATTAAGGTTTGGTCTCACAGGTCTGGGAGAGGGGGAGAAAGAGAGACGGGAGACTCGGGGAAGGAGGAGAGGTAGCAGGGAAAAGAAGTGGCCCAAGCTGAGAAAAGTCTGCGAAGCGCATTCACCTGGGGTATCCTTCAGAAAGATGCCCGCCTCTTTCCCGAGGGCATCACCTTGCCTCTCCCGCCCACAGCTCCGTGGCGTTTACAGCAAGCACTGCTACCGCTGCCGGGCTGCCTGCAACTCTAATGTGTTATTTAATTTTGTAACTACTATTAAGATCTCTCCAGCGTTTTTGTGATGTGCTGGAATGAAAGACGCTCCATAAAATGAGGTTTATTATTAGTAGTATTATAGCTCCCGGGCCTAAAATAAAGCAAAATTATAACCACATACATACTTCAAAGGGAAAATCCGAAGCCACAAGAGTCTCAAACACTGCCAAGCGGGCAGGGGATGGGCGAGGGCGGGAGAGATAGGGGGGCTCCATTCAGGCGCCCCCCCCCACTCCCACCAGCCCCACCAGCTCTCCCAGCACCCACCATTCACCCTGCCTGGTGGGGTCAGCGCCCGCAGCCCGGGCACCTCGCCCCCGGCCGCAGCTTCCTCTAGTGGTGAGGGTCTGGGGTCGGACCTGACCCTCTCGGCCTCCCCTCGCCCCCCAGCTCTCTAGTGGCTCCCGCACTGCCCTGCAGGCTGCCTCACTTCCAGCCCCAGCCTCTCCGCCTGGTTTCTAATTCCCTAGCAGGCGCCGCAGTTTCCTCCCGTCTCCCACCTTGACTTTTTTTTTTTTTTTTTTTTAAATCCAGAACGAAGCTCCTTCCTCTACGATGCCTCACATCGGAGGGCTGCTCCCCTCCTCCCCAGTCCCAGACCCTTTTCTCGTCCGCCACTTTTCCCGTCCTCTTCTCCGTCCCCTTCCTCCGCGGCCCGGGTCTCCCCTCTGCCCCCGGGCTCCTCAGGCCAGCCCCTGGCCGGGACCCTGGTTCTCCCCTCCCTCGCGTCGCCCTCAGCCAATCCCCCGCCCGGCCCCGCGCACCCGCCGCTCACCCGCGGACTCCCCGGTGTTGATCCAGTCCGGGTTGGCGATGCTGGCGATGGCGAAGATATCGGCGGCCAGAAAGAGACATCCTGAGATGATGGTCAGTTTATCCATCTCCCCGCCCCGCTCCCCCCACCCCCCGAGCCCCGGACAGGCAGCGGCCTCACGCCTCCCGCCCCATGGGCCGCCGCCGGGGCCCGGAGTCCCCGCGCCGCTGCCTCGCGCCCCCTCAGCCTCCGCGCGCCGCTCGCGCCCTCCGCGCGCCCGGGACCAGCAGCCGCGGCGCGGCCCGCACAGACTGAACCGCCGCCCGCCCCGGAACTGCTCGGCCCGCCCGCCCCTCACCCGGAAGCGAAGTCTCGGCGCTGGCGAGGCCGGTCCCGGCTCCCCGGCTGCCGCGCCCCTGCTCCGTCCTCCCGGCTTGGCACTCCGCCGCGCCGCCAGGGCCCTCCAGGCCGTCCCGGGCCCCTCCCCGCACCGCCGGCCTCCAAGCTCCGGACCCGGACCCGACCGGCCGGGCTCAGGTCACTGCCCGGGTCCCGGTCTCTTCCGGCAAGCCACGCCACCTCTTGCCTTTCTGCCCACTAACAATAAGATTGTTGTCGTTCTTGATGACTGTTTGGACACAGGCTGCTCCCCCTCCTGAGCCCCTCAAAAGCGAAACCGGAATGGGAATGGGGAGCCGCCTGTCTTCCAGCAGGAGGGTGGTGCCGACTCCCGCCGAGTGACTCCGGGCCCCGCGCGGTCCCTGTCACCTTGTATTCTCATTGCCCGTTCCGCGGCTGTCAGCTCCCAGGATTGCCCCATTTAGCTCTCGACACCCCCTCTGCGTCAGGCGCTGTAGGTGCAGAGGTACTGGGGTGGACAGAGGCAAGGCTCCCTCTCTCGAGCTCACGCTCCGGTGGGAAGAGACAGAAACACATTAAGAACCTATCTGTAAAATAAAGATAATTTCAGGTGCCGATCCCTGAATTCAGCGGAGGTCAATGTGATGGGAGTCGGGGCGATACCTGCGACAGGGAAGGATGCATTTCCGCTGAGACCATAAAGATCATAAAGACCTGCACTTTGAAGACCTGGCACAAGACCAGACAGAGGGAACAGCCAGCACAAAACTCATTAGGGGTCGGGGGGCAGAAAGAGATCGGCCGGTCCAAGGAATTGCAAAATGGCCTGTGTGGCTGGAGAGTAGTATGACAAGAGGTAGGCAGAGGCCAGGTGTAGGGCTCTGGGGGCCTTGGATTTTGTTCTGAGTGCAATGAGACGGTAATGGAGTTGTTTGCAGGAGAGTCCCATGATGTTATTGAATCTGTGAAGATCCATAGAGTAGCTTGCATGGGGGAGAGGCGAAGATGACAACAGGGACGCCAGGTAAGAGGCCAAGTAGTCCACGAGAGAGAAGTATGGCTTTGGCAGGGTGAGAGTAATGAAGATGGGGAGGAATGGACAGATTTGGATGTTTTGTAGATAGAGGGATAAGGGGAAGGAGTTGAAAGAAAGAAAACTCAAGAATAACTTAAGTTTTTGACATGAGCAACCAGGTGTTATGATCCCGTTTACTGAGTTGTGTGTGGAGCGTCTTAAGTTGGATGAATAAACAGGAAAAAAAATAAGGCATTTGCGTAATCTGTCAGCAAATTATGCGATGGTGGGGAGGTTTTGTTTTCTTCCACAGCTCATGGGCGGAATCACCACTAACCCTGACTTTTGATCCAGCTCTCCCTAATAGTTCTCCGTGCAGCAAATGGAGCGAAACACTCATTTTCTCCTTAAATGCCACATAGGTCATCTCTAGAAAGACCTAGAAAAGTGACATGTGTCTCTATTTTTGGAATGCTTACATGTCCACAAAATTCAAGAGGTTTCAAATTCCACCAAATCCAACAGCCTTGCAGAAATGTGCACAGAGTATTAGTGTAACTACATAGCTTGGAGAAGGGAGGGTTTGATTGCTGGGCTATGTAGACTTCTGTCCAAACATTGGTCTCTTGAGGAAAAGGATTTTTTTTGTTGTTGTTATTATATAATTTATTTTTCCTCTGCCAAAGAAATTGACACAAGATAATTGATATAGTCCCAAGAATCCAGATATAATGCATATGACATTACTGCAATAGTCTTTAGTTTCTTTTTTCTTTTCTTCTTTTGGTAAGTACTGGAGCAGTTTAATTGAGCCATACTCTGGGCTTCTTGTAGGGCTTTTCTATTGCCCAGTGATAGAAAAAACTGTAACTATACAGGACTAAATTCTCAGATAATATCCACTAATGTTCTCTGTTGACCAGCTTAAAAGAATCCCAGAGCTGAATGTTAAAACAGTTTGCACCTATTCTAACTCCAGCTGAATAGAATGATGATTAGGTTCTTGTGTTTAAAGTAAATACATGTAGCCAAGCATGGTGGCTTGCACCTATAATCCCAGCTAATCGGGAAGCCGATGTGGAAGGATCACTTGAGTCCAGGAGTTCAAGACCAGCCTGGACAACACAGTGAGACCCCCCCTGTCTCTAATAAATTAAATAAATAAATAAATAATAAAAATCTCATTTTACCCTCTACAATTGGTTCTGGGTCTAAGATTAAAGCACAAGAACAACCAGTATTGAGTTAAAATAATCTAAAACATTTTTATATTAATGGCTACACATCACTGCAGAGGATAGTCACCTATTCCATTCCTTCCTGCCATCCAGAAAGGGAGGTGGGGTTGGCAGAAGCCAAACTGTTTACAGACTTCCCATTAATCCTTGTTTTTATCTCTGTATCTCTCTCTCTCTCTTTTTTTTTTTTTTAGTTAGAGATATGGTCTCACTATGTTGCCCAGGCTGGGCTTGAACTCCTGGCCTTAAGTGATCCTCTCACCTCAGCCTCCCAAGCAGCTGGGACTACAGGCCCACAACACTGTGCCTGGCTGGTGTTTCCAAGTCCCCAGTCTCTGAGATCTGTAGGACAGATCAGTTCCTTTCTCCCCTATATCTCTGTCTAGATTTTGGTACAGGCAGACCCTAAGGGTTTGGGGGAGGCAATGTAGTGAAGCAAGTACAGCACTATGTTCTAGTTCCTGCCCTGCTACTGATTTGACCTTGGGAAAGCCATGTCGCCTCTCTGGGCTTTTTTTCCCCAGCTGGCCTAACAAGACTCCTGGACTCAATGACAGAAGCATCCCATCCTTTCACCCACCCCTAAGCGGAGCAGCTGGGGCTTCAGAAATGAGCCACGAGGCTCCTTATGGCAGAAAGCCTTGGGGATCCAGAAGAACATAGAAGGCTTCCAGGAGGGAGCTGTGCTGGCAGCCTGAAGTCATAAATAGCCATTCTGCAGCTGTTAAAGGGCCGTGAACATGGCATGCTTTATTGTGATGGATGGTAGACCTTGGCCAGAAGAGGCTGAATCCAGCTGGGACCGCAGGGAAAGCTGTGGAAGGGACTGTGTGATCACTCTTCTCTTCAAGGAGTATCTCAATAAAGAACACACTGCCACCCTAGGGGTTAAGTTTACCATGTGGGCCAAGAGCATGGTGGATGACCACACATGTGTACCTGGGGTTCTGGGGGTTAGAGAAGACACAAGAAACTAAATCCAGTGTTAGCAGCTTGTGCCTGGGGTTCAAATCTCGGTTTGTTTCATGGATTGGTTCCCTTTGAGCAGACTCAGAAATGACATTATTGATCAGTGTGCAGGAAGTTTATTAGAGAGCCTTTGAAGATCAAGTCCTCTGGGGGAAAAGGAAGCAGGATGGGAAGAGGAAGAAGTCAGTCTGTGCTGCCATCACAGGAGGCTTTGGCAGACCCCAAGGGAAGCTCTGAAGCTGGGATAGCTGCTCGGAGTTGGCCTGAGTTGGAGTAAAGGGGCCAAGCCTTTTCATCCCTGCAGTGACCTGCCATGGAGCGTTAGCTTGGAGGGCAGCTCACTTTGGACAAAGACAATTCCTCAAGAGGGCTGACAGCTGAGATTGTCAACCTACCACCCTCCTAGTAGCCGGGGAATAGTCCTTCCGTCCTGACCGAGGCAGTGTAGTGCAGCATTTGCAAAAGTGCCGCAGGGAGCTGTGCCTCTCATTTGCTGCTTAAGTTTGGACAGCAGCCCTTCAGGACCCTGGGGCATCTTTTTCTGTGGGAAACGCACAGAGGAAGGTTAGTGGGACAAACCACAACTCCTGCTGCCGCTACAGCCCATCTAGAGGCATAACTAACATACCCTTCAGTCCCTTCTTCTATCCATCCTAGATTCCTCTCCCCCACTGCCAGCACCTCAGATGATGTAGGCGGCTTATGTGGTGGGGTGGCCTAGACTTCCATCCCTAAGAATTTGAGCACCTAGTTGCTGTGCACTTCGCAGGCAGTAGTTGCTGTATTTGTTCATTTACTGTCCAAATAGGGTAAAGGAGTACTAAGAGACACCTAAATAGATCACGTAGGTGCCCAATGTTCCCCTGCCCCTATGCGAAGTCTCAACCCGATTCCTTCCTGGTGATGGAATACTCTTATCTGCTTCCCCACCCCGCCGCGATACCCCATCCCATTTACTGCTTGTAAAAAAACTTAGCCATCTTAGAGTTTCCCCTGCCAGTGGCTAGCTATGCTCCTTCTGTACCAGGGATGGGCTCCTCATTATTACCTGGGTATTAGGTGATCCATCCTAGCTCTATTCTTAGGAAGAAGGAATGAAGCAGGGGCCAGGCATGGTGGCTCACGCCTGTAATCCCAGCACTTTGGGAGGCTGAGGTGGGCAGATCACCTAAGGTCAGGAGTTCAAGACCAGCTTGGTCAATATGGTGAAACCCCTGTCTCTACTAAAAATACAAAAATTAGTCGGGCATGGTGGTAGGCATCTGTAATACCAGCTACTCAGCAGGCCGAGGCAGGAGAATCACTTGAACCCAGGAGTTGGAGGTTGCTATGAGCCGAGATCATGCCACTACACTCCTACCTGGGCAACAGAGCAAGACTCTGTCTCAAAAAAAAAAAAAAAAAAAAAAAAAGCAGGACAGGGCAGAGGGAAAAGTCAGGCTGCAATGCAGCCACAACAGGGCCTCAGTGGACCGCAGGGTAAGCTCTGAACCTGGGATGGCCCTGCATTGACCAGTCACCAGATGCTAATTTATTTGGGAAGGTGAGATCTTGGGCAAGGGGCTCTTTTCAGCAGTAGCAATAGTGAGGGTGGGAGGTGTAAGTCCTTCAGCCCTGAAGGAAGATCTTGGCAGCACAACACAGCACAGCACCCATGACAGTTTGTATCCTACAGTTCCACCAATCAGCGTGACCTTGGCATCTGCTCTAAAGATACTTCTCAGCCTGGGATGGAGGGAAGACTAAGAGGGGGCCAGGCCCCAGTGTGCTCCTATCACAGAACCATATATGCTGATGGGCTCTATTCCCACAAACTCTCACCCTTATCCTGATGGTAGGAGGATGAAGGAAAAGGATGTATTTTATGATATAATTAAGTTGGTATCTATATAGACCCCCACCAGACTGTTTGGAAGAGGAAAAGTGACCTGTCACAAGAAGCCACCTGCAGGAGATTTGAGGTACAGAATAGCTCTACCTACCAGTCTCTGCAACACAGGATTTATCTAATGAGAAATCTGCCCTGGCATTCATGCCTGTAATCCCAGCACTTTGGGAGGCCAAGGCAGGTGGATCACCTGAGCTTAGGAGTTTGAGACCAGCCTGGCCAACATGGTGAAACCCCGTCTCTACTAAAATTACAAAAATGAGCCACGCGTGGTGACACAGGTTTCTGGTCCCAGCTAGTCAGGAGGCTGAGGTGGAAGGCTCATTTGAGCCTGAGAGGTGGAGGTTGCAGTGAGCCAAGATTTCATCACTGTACTCCAGCCTGGGTGACAGAATACAGAATGAGACCCCATCTGAAAAACAACAACAAAAAGAATCTGCCCTGGCTTATTGTCTGTGTAGAGCCACAGAAACAACAGAATAAGCTGGGATGTAACCAGATTTACCATGGAAATCTTTGCTTAGTGCCTGATGCCTAATAGGTGCTTAATAACTCTTTGTTGAAGGGATGGGGCAAAGTGCTTAGCCTCTCAGTTTCATCACACCAAGGATAACACCAGGACCTACCTCATTAGGTTTTCTCTTTCTTCTAGAATGTATTAATTTACTTACTCTTTTTTATTTTTTAAGACAAGATCTTGCTCTGTCATGCAGGCTGGAGGGTGGTTGGCTTGATCATATCTCACTGCAGCTTCAAATCCAGGCTCAAATAATCCTCCCACCTCAGCCTCCTGAGTAGCTAGGACTACAGATGCACACCACCACGTCCAGCTAATTTTTAAATTTTTTTATAGAGACAGGGTCTTGCTATGTTGCCCAAGTTGATCTCAAACTCCTAGGCTCAAGTGATCCTCCTGCCTCAGTCTCCTGAGTACCTGGGATTACAGGTGTGAGCCACCACACCCAGCCTAGAATTTATTTTTGATAATTTATGTTTTCCTAAAAGTGTCCACTTCATCTGTTTTTTAAGTACAGGTTTCAAGAGGTTAGAGCCTGTGTTTCTGTCTTTGTTTTGCCTACTGTTGTGTCCCCAGTATCATTAAACAACAGAGCAGCTCCCTGCAAATACTTGTTGCGTGAGTGAATGTGTGTGGGAGGAAGAATTATCTTGGAAAAAAGAAGGAAGCATTAATAGTGCCTCTCCTAATAGTGACTCATTTTTTTTAGGCCACCCTGGGGCCTTTTCTTATTCAAAACATCCATGAAAAAAAGTGCAGTTCCAAAGCATTGGAGCTACTGATGTAACCATTTTTTTAAAAATACCATTATTCAGAGCACAGCAGGGATTCTCTGATCTTCTAGGTATTCTGTGATCTCCTGTGATCTTCTGGCTGTGATCTTCCTCTGCAGACCACCTCACATCTTTGGACACCCTCCTCTGTGCCTTCTCCCCCTCCCTGTTTCTTAGGTTCACCAAGAATGAATGAAGAGGGCAGGCATGGTAGCTCATGTCTGTAACCCCAGCACTTTGGGAGGCCGAGGCAGGTGGATCACGAGGTCAGGAGATCAAGGCCAGTCTGGCTAAGATGGTGAAACCTCATTTCTACTAAAAATACAAAAAAAAAAAAAAAAAAAAAAATGGCGCCTGTAATCCTGGCTACTTGGGGAGCTGAGGCAGAGAATTGCCTCAACCTGGGAGGTAAAAGTTGCAGTGTGCCACTGCACTCCAGCCTAGGCAACAAAGCAAGACTCAAAAAAAAAAAAAAAAAAAAAAAAAAAAAGAATGAAGAAGCCAAGCATGGTGGCTCATGCCTGTAATCCCAGCACTTTGGGAGGTTGAGGCATGCAGATCACCTGAGCCCAGGAGTTCGAGACCAGCCTGAGCAACATAGTGAGACCCAGCCCCTGTCTCTTAAAAGAAAGAAGAGAAAGGAAAAGAAGGAATGAAGAACCCATTGTGGGTTAGGCACGGTGCTAGTCTCTGCAGAAGTTTCTACACAGTATACTGGCGTACAATACTCAAGCCACATTTTGCAGGGTCCACGGGAAGCCTTGCGGAGGCCTCACTGCCACCCAACTTCTGGACAACGGCGGCGCAGCGCCCCCTGGCGGCCATCCCGAGGGCGGTGCCCAAGGGTGAGGTTCGAAACTGTTGGGAGTGGAACTGACTCCAGCCTCTGCTCCGGGAGGCCCTCCCGAGCCACCCGCCCTCCGGGGCCATGCAGAAGGCCTCCCGTAAAAACAAAAAAGGTAATTGGGGAGAAGGGAGGGGGTGAAGCCCTGGGGATCAAGCCTTCCTCATTTTTCCTCCTCTGTAAAATGGCAAAGGCACACTCTTGGCCTGGGAGATGACCTGTCGCCAGAGTTATTATTATTATTATTATTATTATTATTATTTTGAGAAGGAGTCTCACTTTGTCACCCAGGCTGGAGTGCAGTGGCACCATCTCGGCTCACTGCAACCTCTGCCTCCCAGGCTCAAGGGATTCCTCTGCCTCAGCCTCACTAGTAGCTGGGATTACAGGTGCCTACCACTGCGCACAGCTAATTTTTGTATTTTTAGTAGAGATGGGGTTTTGCTATGTTGGCCAGGCTGGTCTCAAACTCCTGACCCCAAGTGATCCTCTCGCCTTGGGCCACCATTATTTTTATCAAGGTATATTTCCATACAGTAAGATTCCGCCCTTTTAAAAGTACAGTGGTATGAGTTTTGACAAACCTATACCCACGTTGAACCATCCCCTCCATCAAGATAGGGAACAGCTCTACCACTCCCTAAAATTACTTTGAGATGCACAATTGTAGTCAACCCCACCCCACTGCAGCTCCTCACACCCCCATCTGTTTTTTACAGGGTTTTTTTTTTTTTTTTTTTTTTTTTGCCTTTTCCATGGAGAATGTCATAAAAATGAAATCATATAGTAAGGTGCCTTTTAAAAATTATACCAATGTAAATAGGGACTTTGGCCCTTTCATTTTTATTAAAATGGCACATAAATCTTAAAACAACATACTGGTCTCTGTATTTTATTTTTAGAGACAGGGTCTTTTTCTTTCACTCAGGTTGGAGTACAGTGTTGTGCTCCTGACTCACTGCAGCCTCCACCTCTTGGGCTCAAGAAATTCTCCTGCATCAGCCTCCCATAGCTGGGACTGCAGGCATGCACCACCACACACAGCTAATTTAGGTTTTTTGTTTTTTGTTTTTTGAGACAGAGTCTTGCTCTGTGGCCCAGGCTAGAGTGTGGTGGTATGATCTTACCTTACTGCAACCCCTGCCTCATGCATTCAAGCCATTCTTGTGCCTCAGCCTCCTGAGTAGCTGAGATTACTGGCATGAGTCACCACAGCTGGCTGATTTTTGTTATTTTCAGTAGCAACAGTGTTTCGCCATGCTGGCCAGGCTGGTCCCGAACTCCTGACCTCAAGTGATCCACCTACCCTCAGCCTCCCAAAGCGCTGGGATTACAGGTGTGAGCCACCATGCCTAGCCTAATCAGTAGAGATGAGGTCTTACTATGTTGCCTAGGCTCTAATCATTTTATACTTCTGCCAGCGCCCAGGTGGGCTTTCCGAAGGCTGTAGACTCCTGCATTGAGCAATTCTTGTTCTTTATGGCTTTTTCCGAACAGCACCAGGATTTGATAATGACTGGAGGTTGGTGAAGAGGCTGAACCACGCAGTTGGGTCCTAGGCAGCATTAGGCTTTCTGACTGCCGGGCTGTTGTCATTTAGACTGCTTGTCCTTGGGAAGGTTGACATTGCTCTCTGATCAGCCCTGTAGCAAGACCTGTAAGTTTTTCGTATTTGAGTCTGGAGCTTGGCGTCTGGCTCTTCCAGGGTCGTAGTGCTGCCTCCTCCAGCTTGCTGTCCCCAAACACAGCGGCCCACTCTTTTCTGAGCTCACTCTCTTCCAGGGAGGAGGCATTGAAGATCTCACCCAACAGCAGGAGGGTCGTCTTTGTCAGCACCTTCAGGTTCCAGGGTCCCTGCCACTGGGCGCAAGTGAGCACCTTCCTCAGGTTTCATATCTAATAGTTCATTCTGAGCATGCACTGTGTGAAGAGCCGTTGTCTAAGGCAGGTACAATACTTTTTCCATCTTCAGCTTTTTCCTTCTGCTGGTTTTCATTCTCTAATGAAATTAACGGACTCAGCTCCTGCACTGCCGTATCTGTGCTTTCTTGCTGGGTGAGCTACTTCTCTTCTTTCTCAACTAGTTTTTTCACTGGCTTTTGGAAGCGCTTTGAAGTAGTGAATTTATATAGGTGATAACCTGTGAAACGATCATGGATGGCTGCCATAGTGTGAGAAGTTTTCTCCCAAAATGAAGCAGAGTGGTCTGGTATGTTGCTAGCATGTGAGACAGGAGATTGTGTGTATTTACTTGGTCCAAGAAGAAGATTCACATCCATCTTCTTCACTTTGTCCAGGTTTTTTTTTTTTTCTTTTGAGACGGAATCTTGCTCTGTCACCCAGGCTTGTAGCTGGGATTACAGGCATGCACCACCGTGCCCGGCTAATTTTTGTATTTTTAGTAGAGATGGGGTTTCACTATGTTGGCCAGGCTGGTCTCAAACTCCTGACCTCAGGTGATACCCCCGCCTCAGCCTCCCAAAGTGCAGGGATTACAGGCATGAGCCATCATGCCTGACCCAAAGTTTTTTTATTTTGCAAGATGTATTTGTGTTTGTTGCCTTCCCGAACTTCTGCATTTGCTTATAGAGGCCTGGATCAAGCTCCTGAGACACATCCTTCATCTGTGTGTAAGAAGCCTTTTGAGTCCGGCTTCTTTCACTTAACCCTGCTGATTTTTAAAAGTGGGCTCCTGGTAGCTGATCTTATAAGCACATTGAATTTGCAAGCTGAGATTAGAACCACTGAACCCTGCCCAAGATGTGACTTCTCCGTTTGCTCAGGAACCAGAGGCTCAGACAGGGCATATCCTGCCCCCAATTGCTCCCAGAATCCTGAAAGGTCTCTGAAGATGTTATCTTGTTTATATTATGCTGTTTTATTTTCCCAAACAGAGAGCATCTGGTTTGGAGGAAGTTGAGGTTGGGCAAGGATGTCTGCTTTAGAGGAAAGGGCCACGAACCCCTCCAACTCCCCACAGCCAGAGGCAGGGAGCTGGTGGAGCCTTTCCCTCAGCAGTGGCTCTGAAAACACCACAGCCACATGGACTTGGCGAGCCTGTGTGTCACTTGTCCTTATGGAAAGGAGTTGTGTGTGAAATGCTGGAAAAGTGTGCTGGAAACAGATCTCCCCAGGAGCTTCCTGTGTACCAAAAAGGAGTTTCCAAGCAGCTGTCTCTTGGGAAAATAACTTGGTGTTTTGAATGTCCCTTTAGTCCCTGAAACTCTTCTTGTGAGATTTGGTTCTGTAGAAAACATATTGCAACCCCTTCTAGTACCTGTTGTCTCCAAGGCCTTTGGATTTTCCTCCCACGTGCTTTTTGGATCTATCTTGTGCTGATTTCCGCTGCTGCTGTCATGACAGGTGCCACGACCGTTTCATTTTCATTCCATTTCATCTAATCATGTCCAGCTTAACTCACTTCTGAGCTTTTCCACTAAGGAGGTCTGAGAAGCAGCCTCTGTCTGCTTGGCCCTCGCTCCTACTGCCTCCCCCTCCTCTGACAGGGCCTGTTCCTTCCTGTCTCAGACCTTAATACAATGTGCTCCTGCTCCTTCCTTCTTTGCCTAAATATTTCCTATTGGTCCTTTTGGCCTTCATTCAAATTTAACCCTGCTGGAAGCCTGACCCGCTGTGCCCAGATGAGACTTTGGCCCTCTGTTACTCACTCTTAGAGCCCTCCATCCTTTTCTTTCATAGCATGAGTCACAGTTTGTTATTCAACATGTATTTACATGACTGATCGATATCTGTCCCTTCCATTAGGCTGTAAAATCCATGAGGACAAGAAACACATGGTAGCTCACACCTGTAACGCCAGCACTTTGGGAGGCTGAGGTGGGAGGATTGCTTGAGGCTAGGAGTTCTAGACCAACGTGGCCAATATAGTGAGACCCCTGTCTCTACAAAAACAATAAAAATTAGTCGTGTGTAGTAGCACATGCCAGTAGCCCCAGCTACTCAGGAGGCTGAGGTGGGAGGATCCCCTGAACCCAGGATATCGAGGCTGCAGTGAGCTGTGATCATGCCACTGCACTCCAGCCTGGGCAAAAGAGTGAGACCCTATCTGTTAAAATAAAACAAAAAAACCCAGCACATCTGTTTTGCTCACCATGATAAACCTAGGGCCTAGCATACCATCTATAACAATAAATATTTGTTAAGTGAATAGATAATACTAACTAATATTGATTAATTATGCCAGACTCTGCAAAAGCCCTTTAATGCTCCCATTTAATTCTCACCGAACAGCTCTCCAAGGTGAACACTTTTTATCCTCATTTGATCAACAATGAATCTGTGGAATAGGGATTAAATAACTGCCTCAGGGGTCTGGCTTCAGAACCCCAGTGGGTATGGCCATGCTTCTGTCTTGGTGAAGGACTGAAATAAGTTCCCTTTTTCGGTTAGAAGGAGGAGTCAGCATCAAAGCCAAAACATCTGTACATGACTTGAGCAAGACGCAGCAGACCAAACTCACTGTGGGCCGCCTAGGATTAGGCCTCATCATCATCCAGCATGGACCCTACCTCCAGATCACCCACCTCATCCGGAAGGGGGCTGCAGCCAGTGATGGGAAACTCCAGCCAGGTGATGCCCTTTCCCCATGCCTCCCAACCACCCATTCTGCCCATTTCCCTGCAGGGAGACTCGGGTCACTGGGTTTCAGTGTAACTATAAGGCTATGACAACAGGCCAGGTGCGGTGGCTCACACCTGTAATCTCAGCACTTTGGGAGGCCAATGTGGGTAGATCACTTGAGGTCAGGTGTTCCAGACCAACCTGGCCAACATGGTAAAACTTCATCTCTACTAAAAATATAAAAATTGGCCAGACACAGTGGCTCACTCCTGCAATCCCAGTACTTTGGTAGGCTGAGGTGGGTGGATCACCTGAGGTCAGGAGTTCAAGACCAGCCTGGACAACATGGGGAAAACCCATCTCTACTAAAAATACAAAAATTAGCTGGTTGTGGTGGCACATGTCTGTAATCCCAGCTACTTGAGAGGCTGAGGCAGGAGAATTGCTTGAACCGGGAGGCAGAGGTTGCAGTGGGCCGAGATTGCAGCACTGCACTCCAGCCTGGGCGACAGAAGTGAGACTCCATCTCTAAATGAATGAATGAATGAATGAATGAAAATTAGCTGGGCATGGTGGTGGGCACCTGTAGTCCCAGCTACTCAGGAAGCTGAGGCAGGAGAATGACTTGAATCAGGGAGGTAGAGGTTGCAGAGCTGAGATTATGCTACTGTACTCCAGCCTGGGTGACAGAGTGAGGCTCTGTCTCAAAAAAAGAAAAAAAAAAAAAAAAAGATATGACAACATTGGATGAGAACTTTCTATGGGCCAGTCAGTGGCTATGACTTACGTAACTATCACTGTTGGGCATATTAATTCATTTAATTCTGGCTATGTACAGTGGCTCATACCTGTAATTCCAGCACTTTGGGAAGCCAAGGTGGGAGGATCTGTTGAGGCCAGGAGTTCAAAACCAGCCTGAGCAACATAGTGAGATGCTGTCTGTATTAGTCCATTCTTACACTGCTATAAAGAAATACCTGAAACTGGGTAATTTGTGAAAAGAGGTTTAATTAGCTCATGGTTCCGCCAGGCTGTACAGGAAGCATGGCAGGGTAGGCCTTAGGAAACTTACAATCATGGCAGAAGGTGAAGAAGAAGGAGGCACATCTTACATGGTTGGAGCAGGAGGAAGAGAGAGCAGAGGGAGGTGCTACACACGTTTAAACAACCAGACCTCATGAGAACTCACTCACTATCATGAGAACAACAAGGAGAAAGTCTGCCTCTGTTGATCCAGTCACCTCCCCCAAGACCCCTCCTCCAACACTGGGGACTATAGTTCGACATGAAATTTGGGCGGGGACACAAATCCAAACCATATCACCATTTCTACAACAAAACAGAAGTAGCCCAGCATGGTGGTCCGTGCCTGTAATCCTAGCTACTCTGGAGGTTGAGGTGAGAGAATCACTTGAGTGCAGGAGGCTGAGGCTGCAGTGAGCTATGATTGTGCCACTGCATGCCAACCTGGTAACAGAGTGAGACCCTATCTCTAAGAAAATAATAACATTAAATTTACTTAATGAGGCTCAGTGAGATTGAGTTCCTTGTTCAGGTCACCTCTTTCTCCTAAGTGGGGATTCAAACATAGGGACCATGTTACTCCAGAGCTATGGCTCTAGGTGCATAAAGGTATTTTCTTTCATAGACGGTATTAAGCATTGTTACACTTAGCTGCATGATCTCATTTCACTCTCACAACCCCTGAGCTAGATTCTGTATGAAACTACCTTGCAGACAAGGAATCAGGTATTTAGTAACTCGCCCATGGCCACTCCAAGGAGCTGGGAGTTGAACCCTCTCTGTCAGACTCCAGTGTCCAAGGGCTTTACCAATTCTGCCCTGCTCCTCATGTCTTTGGGTGAATGAATTTTCCATGCAGTTCTGTTTTCCCAGTGCCTGGCCTGGGCCTAATGCTGTGCTCAGGAGTTGGGGCGGCAGAACGGGCTGGCACAGTGGTGAGATGGAAAAAACGTTTTGTGTTAGCTGTCCTGATTCAGGCCTAGGGTCTGACACTTTCTAGTTCTGTGACCCTGGGCAAAGCCACTTAACCTTTCAGGCTTCAGTTACCTCATCTTTGAATTGGGACAATCCTGTGTTTGTTAGAGGTTGCTAAGATTTGATGAAATAATGTATGTTTGTTTGATAGATGGGGTATCACTCTGTCACCCATGCTGGAGTTCAGTGTCTTGATCATGGCTCACTGTGGCCTTAAACTCCTTGGCTCAGTGATCCTCCTGCTTCAGCCTCCTGGGTAGCTGGGACTCAGGCGTGCACCACCATGCCCAGCTAATTTTTTCTGGTAGATGTGCTCAGTGGAGGTGGTGGGTGGGTGTTGTCTCATTATGTTGTCCAGGCTGGTTTCAAACTCCTGATCTCAAGCAATCCTCCCATGTGGCCTCCAAAAGCGCTGGGATTACAGATGTGAGCCATTGAGCCCAGCATGATGAACTAATTTTTATGAAAGTGCTTTTAAAACTGAAGCACTGTAGAAATATTGGCAATGGGGGTCCCAGTGGATTAAGCTACTGGTTTGCAACTCTGCTTACCTATTAGAATCACCTGGGGAACTTTAAAACTAAGATGCCTGGGCCCTATCTCCCTAGAGGTTTTGATTTGATCGTTCTTGGACTGGGACAGGGCAGTTTGTTTTAAAAGCTCCTCAGCTAATTCTATTTTGCAGCTAAGGGTTCCAAGCAATGGATTAAAGAAGAAAGCAGATACGTAATGATATCATGTAACAGTTTACTCTACTTTAATATCCAAAGCATTTTCCCCACACATCACTACTTGGTGGTGGAGAACAAATGGCAGGTGGAGAGTTCTGGACTTACCGGATCAAAAGAACTCCAGGACAGGTCCCATGGACTTTTCTGCTGCGTCTCAGCTTCTCCATGGTCAGGTGACAGATGCTGGGTGATGATCTGGGTACATACTCCAGGGTGCTACAGTGGGACAGGAGTACACTTTTAGGCGGGCAACACAGAATCTCACGGCAGGGCTATTGTTAGTGAGCACTTTGAGGTTAGAAGCAGTCTTGAATTTCATCTTTTAAGTCCAGGACTTACCTACTGAATTTGTGTATTCTCACACTGCTGTAAAGATACTACCCTAGACTGGATAATTTATAAACGAAGTAGGTTTAATTGACTCACAGTTCTGTATGGCTAGGGAGGCCTCAGGAAACTTACAATCATGCTGGAAGGGGAGACAGACATCTTCACAAGGCAGCAGGAGAGAGTGTGAGTGTGTGAAGGAGGAGCTGTCAAACACTCAAAACTGTCAGCTCTAGTGAGAACTCACTCACTATCATGAGAACCGCCTGGGGGAAGCCGCCCCCATGATCCAATCACCTCCCTCCCTCCACACGTGGGGATTACAGGTCCTCCCTCAAAATGTTGGGATTTCATTGGCGATGATATTTGGGTGGGGACACAGAACCACACCATATCACTCTGCCCCTCCATCTGCAAGTTGAGGAGCAGGGAAGACAATAGTCCAAGTCCAAAAACCTCAGAAGTAGAGAAGCCGACAGGGTGGCCTTCAGTCTGTGGCTGAAGGCCCGAGAGCCCCTGGCAAACCACTGGTGTTAGTCCAAGAGTCCAAAAGTCAAAGAACTTTGGATGTTTGAGAGTAGGATGCATCCAGCACAGGAGAAAGATGAAGGCTGGAAGACTCAGCAAGTCTGCTCATTCCACCTTTTTCCACCTGCTTTTCTGGCCTTGCTGGCAGCTGATTGGATGGTGCCCAGCCAAACTGAAGGTTGGGTCTGCCTCTCCAGGTCCATTGACTCAAATGTTAATCTTTTCTAGCAACACCCTCACAGACACACCCAGAAACAATACTTTGCATTCTTCGATCCACTCAAGTTGACAATATTAACCGTCACTCCTACAGTAGTGGCTCATTTGTTATGTCTTTGCTTAATAAATAACAAGTGAGCATTTGTCCCAGGCATTGTGGGAGATATTTCCCCATCTATTATCTTTTTTAACTCCACTTTTAATTCTAACTTTGTAAGAGTCAGGGTCTCACTCTGTCACACAGACTGGAGGGCAGGAGTGCAGTGGCACGATCATAGCTCACTACAGCCTCAAACCCCTGGGCTCAAGTGATCCTCCTGCCTCAGCCTCCCAAAGTGCTGGGATTATAGGCATGGGCCACCTCACCTGGCCCCACGTCTATTATCTAATTTAATGTTTGCAACACTACTGAAATGTAGATAATGAAATACAGAGAATTAGATGAAATAACTTGTTCATTTTAGTTATACAACTAAGTCTGTGTTCAGAGCCGGGATTTGAACCCATGTCTGTCTAGAAAACCCATTCCTTTCAGCCAATTGCCTAACAACTAGAAATGAGATTTTAATACAGAGGAAGTCCAGAGCTCCAAACCTTTGTGACAAACCTGCCAGTTCTCCTCAGCATCTGTCTAGGCTTCAAAGTCTGTCATTCAGTGGTTTTAGACGATGATGAGATCTTGGGAGATGATAATTGTAGAAACATGATGTTCCTTTGACCCCATTTCCTCCCAGCCCCATTATCTCTCATCTATTTGCTGAAATTTCTCTCTTTCACGTTGATTTCCTAATGTAGTTTAGTGTTAGTTTATTCTGGCTTAACTTTAAGTTCTTTTTGGCCGGTATGGCCTTAACAGACTCCGATATTCAAAATCTTAAGAAATTGGCTGGGCACGGTGGTTCATGCCTGTAATCCCAGCACTTTGGGAGGCTGAGGCGGGTGGATCACTTGAGTCCAGGAGTTGGAGACCAGCTGGGCAACATGGTGAAACCCCATCTCTACTAAAAAGTATGAAAAAAATTAGCTGGGCGTGGTGGCAGGTGCCTGTAATCCCAGTTACTCGGGAGGCTGAGGCAGAGAGTTGCTTGAACACGGGAGGCGGAGGTTGCAGTGAGCCAAGATCATGCCACTGCACTCCAGCCTGGGTGACAGAGCAAGACTCCATCTCAAAAAATAATAATAATAATAAAATCTAATTAATGTAGGCCGGGCACGGTAGCACACACCTGGAATCTGAGCACTTTGGGAAGCTGAGGCGGGCAAATTGTTTGAGCTCAGGAGTTCAAGACCAGTGGGGGGAACCTGACAAAACCCCATTTCAATAAAAAATATAAAAACTAGCCGAACATGGTGGGTGCTTGAGCTTGTAGTCCCAGCTTTTCCAGGGGCTGAGGCGGGAGGGTTGCTTGAGCTGTATTTGCATCCCTGCACTCCAGCCTGTGTGACAAAGTGAGACCCTGTCTCAAGAAAAAAAAAAATTATGTAGCTTCAACAGCAAATACAAGTCATGGACTGGCTACTCCCTAAGCATTTCCTGAAGGCCTGGTATATGCAGACAACCAGCTAGGCACTGGGGGTGTAGTGGTCAACCAAACAGACGTGGTCCCTAGCCATGAGGAACTTATGGAACTTCCAGCCTAGTTTGGAGAGATGAAAAAAATAAATAAAATCTATTTTTCAGTAGTGGCTTGGCTGCTGCAAAGTTGATTTAATATAGCTAATCAAAACAAAGTTTATATAATGTCACTCCTATAGCCCATTAATATAGAAAAAAATATGTAATGAGGTTGGCATTCATAAATACCAAATTGGTGTTTCTGTATGAAGGGCAATGTTAATATCTATTGCTGGAGTAATCACATTCACATGCTGACATGTTTGGTTTACAGCCAGAACGGTCAGGAAATTAAGCTGTTTATTTTCTGCCCTCTTGATAAAAGTCACCCTTTTACAACATAATTAAGCAGAATGCCACACCATAGCTTTCAGCTATAAACACTGCCTTTAACATTAGGCAAGTAAGCTCATCCAGGGAGGGTTTTTTTTTTTTCGCCATTATAATTAACCTCAGTACGATCAGCAGCTGTTTCATATTGCTTAAGCTGCAGGTAGCCTTGTTTCATTCTGAAGTGAGCTTCAGATACATGATTGATTGTATTACCCCCAGCTACTGCTTCAGACCAAAGTTGGAGGTTTTTCTCCACCCTTCTAAGTATTCATTTTCTTGAATTCTGGAAACTTTGATAGGATCTAGAGCTATGGACATTTGTCCTTGGCATTCCTTGGAGGCTTCTTTTGGGATCAGTCTAATTCCAGATAGAAGCCCAGTGAATGCATCAGAGAAGGCACTTCTTGACCCTTTCCTTCTCTGAGGTTAGGCTTCAGCTGTCTTAGAATGAGGGTGATTGAGGGTTCCCAGCAGGTCGGTACTAGTAAGATCTGAAGACTTAAGATTTTGCCCAACGTGAGTCGGTCCTTAAAAAGCAAATCCTTTGTATTCCTTTCTCAAGTCTTGCTGAATGCTCTTGTAGCAGTCAGGGTTCCTCATTGCAAAAAACAAAACAGTTCTGTTAATGCACTGAATTTGGGATACTGAGTCTGACAGAATTGCCCGAAAGGCTGGAGAAGCAGGCTTGGAAAATGGTGAGAGAATCACGAGCTGTTTTGGCAACTGGAAGCTCCCATCACTCTTCTGCATCTCCTGCTCCAGGTTCAGTGACCCAGGTGGGAGGGTTCAGTGACCCAGGTGGGAGTGTCCAGTGACTGGATCTCACTCACAGGTCCATGACCTAGCTGCTGGAGGTGGGGATATGGGGGAGGTCAGAGCAAGTGAACAATTGGTCTTTTTAGCGTCCTCCAATTTGGGGGTTTGGGGACTTAGTGCTCAAGATGTAGTCCTCTTACCACCTGCTGGGGACTCAGAGACTGCATGATTGACCATCTTGCTTCTTTTCTTGCCCTGCATTGCCCTGAGATAGGGAAACGTAGCTGTCAAATCCCTTTAAACCAACATACTCACTGCATACACATCTTACAGTTAATTAAAGCATGCCTAATTACCCCATGTTTTATACAGAATTATTTGCTCAACTAATACTGCACAAGGGTAGAAAATTAAAATGAAAGGCTTTATGTTTAATATGGTGTATTAACTGTGGAGGGCACTGGAAATTGCCAGGCAGGTATAATAGAAAGTAGGTCATTTATTCATCACTTAGTGTAAGTGGTTTTTTCTTTCCTACTAATAGCCATTCATTTTATTTGAAACTACTCTATTTTTAGAATCCTAAAGGCTGATTCCTATTATAAATGTTTTTTGACCTCTGTCACATTAAGAACTTCAGAAACGTCTCAAAAACATCATATAATGTCTACCATTACACTGCTATTAAGAAACATCTTGCATACATTCTTCATTATGCAAAGGACATTCATATCATGAAGATGAACATCTTTATAAATAAAGGCTGAAGCCTGGTTTTGGTTCAAAAAGAAGCAACAATATGAACAATATGAATATAAAATGAAGCAACAATATGAATATAAAATGAAATACCTCACAATAAAGAAATCAACATGGCCCCTTATTTATACTGATATATCATTTTTCCCTCTTCAGGTGATGTTCTGATTAGTGTTGGCCATGCCAGTGTGTTGGGATATACTCTGCGAGAATTTTTACAGCTTTTGCAACATATCACCATTGGAACAGTGCTACAAATCAAGGTTTACCGAGATTTTATTGACATTCCTGAAGAATGGCAAGAAATATATGACTTAATCCCTGAGACCAAATTCCCAGTAACAAGGTAAATAGTTCATTTTAGGAACTGTTTGTTATAATACAGAATCCCAGGGCCTGTGAGGCATAGATGGTTTAATGTGACAATTATCAAATGATAAGAATCATGACAGGAGGACTGGTGACACTGTCAGTAATTTCCTGGGTTTCTGGTTTTTGGAAAGGACAATCTATAGGCTCTAATATGACAAAGCATGATAAAGTCAACTTGGAGTTAAAAAACAAGCCATCTGTTGGGAACTCTGTCCCCATGCCTACCTGCAAGTCAGTCCTTAAAATGCGTCTTGTGAATCCGATTTTCTTTTGCATTATCCAACTTTCTTTTTTCTGGGTCCTTCCCAATAACATCTAAGCCTTTTTAAACTTCTCCGGTCTTAGCAAATTCTATCTTCAGTCCCCTCTCCTCTCCCTGCCCTCTCCAGCCACTGGAGTCTCTTGCATCCCCTCCCAACTTGCTGAAAGCTGTATTAGACACCTCCCTTTCCTCGAGAGACGCCACTTCCCAGACACTCCTCAACCCACTTCAATCTAGGCTTTGCTTTCATCCCTTGGCTGAGTCCTTTTCTCACGGCCACCCATAGCCTTCACACTTCTGATCCCAGAAGACTCTTCTGTCTTTATCTTGCTTGGCTTCTGAGCAGCATTAGACACTTAATAATTTCCACCCACACTCTTCTTGAAATAGCACTTCCCAGGCTTCTGTGACACCACACTCCCCTGATTTTCCTGTTACCTCTGGCCATTTCCTCTTGGTGTCCTTTCTCCTAGGCAATTTCATTGATGCCCCTGGTTTCTATGACTATTCACATGCTAATTACTTTCAAATTGTATTATCACCAAAACTGTATTTTTTTTGGGGGGGGGAGGGACACGGAGTTTGGCTCATCGCCAGGCTGGGGTGCAGTGGTGTGATCTTGGCTCACTGCAACCTCTGCCTCCCAGGTTCAAGTGATTCTCCTTCCTCAGCCTCCAGGGTAGCTGAGATTACAGGCACACGCCACCACACCCAGCTTATTTTTGTATTTTAATAGAGACAAAGTTTAACCACGTCAGCCAGGCTGGTTTTGAATTCCTGACCTCAGGTGATCTGCCTGCTTCAGCCTCCCAAAGTGCCTGGATTACAGGCATGCGCTACCGTGCTCGGCAAATTTGTATTTTTAAACACCCACTTGATATCTCCATTGGATGTGCCATAAACTCCTCAAACTCATTATGCTTAAAATCAAAAGCCAGCCCATGATGGCTCTATCTTACTGGGGTAGCGTTTGTCTAGTCAAACAAGCCAGAAATTTAGGGGTTGTAGTTGATTTCTCCATCTCCCTCCTCCTGCTCCCACCAAACATTAAGATATTTGTCTTCTCACATTCATCCATGTCTCTCTAGCCACTATGATCATTCCAACAAAGCCGCCATTTGGTCTCCCTTCATCTACTTTTTAAAATTAATTTTTCCTTTTTGTGACAGGGTCTCACTCTGTCATCCAACCTGCAGTGCAGTGGTGGGATCATGACTCACTGTAGCCTCAACCTTCCCGGCTCACTCGATTTTCACATCAGCCTCCCGTGTAGCTGTGATCCCAAGTGTGTGCCACCACATCTGGCCAAACTCTTTTGATTTTTAGTAGAAACAGGGTCTATGTTGCCCAGGCTGGTCTCGAACTCCTGGCTTCAAGTGATCCTCCCACCTAGCCCTCCCAAAGTGCTGGGATTACAGGTGTGAGCCACTGCACCCGGCCAAATTAATTTTTTTTTTTTTGAGACGGGGTCTTGCAATTTTTCCCAGGCTGGTCTTGTACTCCCAGGCTCAAACAATTCTCCTGCCTCAGCCTTCCAAGCAGCTGGGATTACAGGCTTGCGCCACTGTGACCAGCTCCCTGCATCTACTCTTGCCCCCTATTTATTTTCTACACAGAGCAATTTTTTATAATGTAACTCTGATCCTGGCACATTCCTGCAAAAAATCTAAGACCTTTCGTTCCTTAGATAAATGCCAAAATCTTCACATTGGCCTATAATGCTCTACGGGGTTCAGCTGGCCTCTACATACCATTCCAAAGTCATCTCATACTGCTTTCCCATCCTTCTCTAGCCCACTTTTAGCTTCCAGCTCTTTTTGCTGCTCTTTGCCTCAGAGTCTTTGCTCTTACTCTTCTCTACAACATGCTTGTGGCTCTGCTCTTCAGTAGCCACCCTTGAAGGCTCCAGTGTATTTTCTCCAACGGGTCTTCCTAGAAACAGGTCCACCTGACATAGGCTCTCACAGCATGCTCCTTCACATTTATCCCAGTTTTAATGAAATAATCTGTGTAATCAGTTGTTCACTGTGCTTCCCTTGGAGAACGTGAACTCCATGAAGGCAGGGACTGAGTCTGTCTTGTTTTGCTAAAATTGCCCTAGGACTTTCATGTGGTCAATGGCTCATTTGTTTTTAATTTCTAATTTTAAAAGTCTTATTTTTGAGACAGGGTATCCCTTTGTTGCCCAGACTGGAGTGTAGTGGCATGATCACAACTCACAACCAATCCTACTCAACAACCCCTATACTGGAGGCTACGACTCTAAAAACCTGGGCTCATCTGATTACGTAACAACTATGTTCTAAGCTTTTTCACTACCTGGAGGAGTTTTGAAATCCAGAATATTAAATTCTAAGGATGGCAGATTGACCATTCAAAAGTAATGAAAAGATAGAACAGCACAACCAAGTATGAGGCGAAAATCCACAAACTTAACAATACCAAGCACCTTCTGAATCCCTTTCTTAATTAAGCAAAGTACTCATATCTAAGGCATTTTAGTAACTTATGTGGAAGGGGGCGGAAAAGACGGGGAAGGAAAAAGCTGCTTTCACAAAGTTGGTATAATCTTTTCCTGGAGAAAACAGCACTGGGTACACCCTGGAGAAAATTCTCCATATAACACTCTAGGTAGGCCAAGTGGTATATAAAGTTTGTTTCCAGCCAATTCTGACCTCTGCAGGCTTGTGGCTTTATTATCTAATGACAATATACCTGTCCTTTATGGTTACCTAAGCATCAGAGTTGCCAAGGACTCCCCCTGCAGTCTGAAAAAAAAAAAAGTTATTAATACTTGGATTTAAAAAAAAAAACTCATGTGCTGTTCAGGAAGACCTGGGTGTGTCTGAAGGCAAATTAGACAAAATCATTATTTAAGACTAGTGGCTCTCAGTAAAAATTACTCGATATCAACTGTTTATTACTAGAAGAGACAAACTTTAGGAAAAGGCATTCAAATGCTTGGAAGCAAATATAACAGGCAGACTGCCAAGGTTATTCTAACACCAGTAGGTCTTAACAGGCTGGTGAGGAAGAAACCTACTTCCTTTAGCAGGGCAGAATGTACCACAGATTTATAATCACAAAGATCTAGTTTTGGTTCTGCTGGGCAACAGCAGCAGGATGAGGGAAAGCAGGTGGCAGCATTCACTCTGGAAAGTTAGAACAAGCACAGGTACTGTAGGCATTAGGAAAGTTCAGAGACCTGGAGGTGCTAGCAGGCAAGCACCACCAAGTTTCAACAATTAAGAAAGCCAATAATTGGAGAACGTTACAAAACCAAACCAAAACAAACAAAAACCTGGCTGGGCACGGTGGCTCATGCCTGTAATCCTAGCACTTTGGAGGCCAAGGTGAAAACTGCTTGAGGCCAGGTGTTTGAGATAGGCATGGGCAACAGGAAGATCCTGTTTTTACCAAAAAATAAAATAAAAATTAGCCAGGTGTGGCGGTATACAGCACACACACCTGTAGTCTCAGTTACTTGGGAAGCTGAGGCTGAAGGGTCACTTGAGCCCAGGAGTTCAAGGTTGCAGTAAGCTATGATTGTGCCACCACATACCAGCAAGGGTGACAGAGCAAGACCCTCTGCATTAAAAAAAAAAAAAAAAAAAGACTCAAAGACTTACTAATGACTAGCACACTGAAGATCCTTAAGGCCCACTATTTCCTGACGTCCTGACTCCTTTGGTTATCAGTAATATTGTGTTATTGCCATGTGAGCGACAAGAGCAGAGTTCTCAGGAGATGGCCAGGTTGAACCTGTCACTTTAGCTGCAGTGAAATTAAACGACCCTTTAACACCTCCTAATATTCTGGTCAGTAGTCTAGTACAAGTCTGTGAAAAACTTTTTAAGGTATTGTGAAATAAGTTAAGGCAGAATTTGATTTCCAATTAGAAATGGAAAATTTTTTAAAATAGTTTAAAAAAGAAACATTTTAATGACACAGGTAGTGCTAAAGCTAAACTGTATTTCTTTTATGAGCCATAAAGCGAGTAATAAGGTGAGCAATAAGGCATCTTGTTAGGGGACCATAAATGTTTGGACATGAAAAATCTATTTTATTCACTATTCTTTTCATTTCAGCACACCAAAGAAAACTGAGCTGTCAAAAGATGAATCTTTCACAAGCGGTGATGATAATGAACATGTAGTTTTAGATAAAAGACTTCAATATTATAGATATCCATGGTCAACTCCGCATCACCCTGCAAGGAGACCAATATCCATCTCCAGAGACTGGCATGGATATAATAATAAGAACCATATTATTAGTGTGGGAAAAGACACTAATTGTGATGTGATGATTCATAGAGACTACCAGAAAGAAGTGAGGGCCCCTTCTCCATACTGGATAATGGTGAAGCAAGACAATGAAAGCTCTTCCTCCTCTACTTCCTCTACCTCAGATGCATTTTGGCTGGAAGACTGTGCCCAAGTTGAAAAGGGTAAAGCCCAACCGGAATCAGAGGTTGGTTAGCAAATCTGTGTTCATATAAGCATTTATCTTGCAGACACCCCAGTTTTGTGCCTCACCATGCAAAAGTTTGCTATACTTATCAAGGACTGTCTACAGACTCACCAATTCTCTTCTCTTCTGACTGCGTTTATAAAGCCATTAGAGATATTCTTCAACAGCGTTATCTAAAGACTTCCCTGGGGTCTTGCAGGCCTCACAAATCTCTTCAGAATAAGACCCTCCTTTCTGAGAAGAATTTATTTTTAGAAAATGCAGTATAGAAATCTAGTATCAGAATGTCTGAACACAGTAAAGAATGGCACTTTATGTAAACACATTTTTCTTTAAGTATTTAGTTTCTGTTTTTGTAAACTTCAAGTACTATAATTAAAATAATTAAGAGATAGATTCCTTGGCTAGTTATTCACATTAGCATTTTTTTTCCACTTTTTAGCTCTTTTACTTTAAATGTTGAGTTGAGAGTTAATTACTTGAAAGAGACAGGACAGTAACAGATAAGAGACAGAAGATGAGAGAAAAACAAAACTCTGTCAGTAAAGATAAATCAGACATAAAAAATGAATTAATGGAATATAGGATTTGATAGGAAATTTGTTTTTCAGAAATAATTTTATTGCAAAAAAGGCAAAACAGGGGTAAAAACCACACCACTTAGCTGTTGATACCCAAAATGACAAATTTGAACATGCTTTTATCTTAAAAGCCACCAACAGTAATCTGGAACTATTTACCCTGATAGCCACTTAACCTTAATTTTAATAGTTTCTGATGCTTCTATACTCACTATATTCCTGTCTCCTTTAAAGCATCTAAAACAAAGATATCAGCAGATAATAAATACTTGTTGATTAATTCACTGAGAAAAACATAAGATAAACACTTAAGTAGAATGTTTTATTGACTTTAGGTCAGCTGGCAATAATTACCTGAATTTATGCCTTATTTTACTTCACTGGAAAAAAGACAAATGTTATATTAGAGACTTCTGACTTTCATGTATTTGCTTCTCTGGGCTGAGAATGTTCAGCTCTCTCCTGTAATGTGTGCTTCAGTATTACAACTCATCAGCAAAAGGTGTATGTCCCAAATTTCCGCTTGCTGCCATCGATTTTTTGCCAGAAACAAACTTCTTTGCGGCCTTTAAACAAACAAAAGACAAAGTTAACAAAAATATATTATCATCAAGCAGGTAAACTTATTTGCCATTTCAAGAATTTATGGATAGGACTTTTTTTTTTTGAGATGGAGTCTTGGCTGAGCGAGGTGGCTCATGCCTATAATCCCAGCATTTTGGGAGGCTGAGGTGGGTGGATCACGAGGTCAAGAGATTGAGACCATCCTGGCCAACATGGTGAAACCCCGTCTCTACTAAAAATACAAATTAGCTGGGATGGTGCTATGTGCCTGTAGCCCCAGCTACTCCGTAGGCTGAGGCAGGAGAATCGCTTGATCCTGGGAGGGGGAGGTTGCAGTAAGCTGAGATCATGCCACTGAACTCCAGCTTGGTGACAGAGACTGTCAAAAAAAAAAAAAAAAAAAAAAAAAAAAAGAAAACGGGAAAAGCCCACTTTGGATTGATTCTGTAGATCATGTGCTTATTAGGCACAGTAGGGAACACAGAGAAGTAGAAGTACAAGACATAGTCCTTGACCTGAAAACAGCTCAATCTTGTAGGGAACAGTAATATATGTGAAAAAAAATTAGTAAGAACAGGAGAATGTCTAGGCTGAGAAGAATAAAGAATATCTTAAGGTGCTAGATGGTGAAATACTGGTAGGATTGAAGAGGAAAAATAGCAAACTTCACTATTTAGGTTGGATCATATGAAATTGCCAATATTTGACTCTTCTTGAGTTGAATATGGTTTAACCTAATGGTAGTTTATTTGAAGGAGGAAGATACATACACCCGAGCTGACAAGGAAGCTCGCAGTGGATCATATGGGAATGTGCCCTCCTGCCTCCACATGAAGTAGACAGGCACCAAACATGAGAATAACATACTCAGCCCAGGGACGCCTAGGCATCCTTCTGAAATTGGATCATTAAGGTTAAGTTCTCTGTTGTCAAATCGTAAGTTTTCATTTGCTTACATTTATGATATCAGCATTAGCCACTGAATCAATCTGCTGAAGGACTGTGGATGGTGGCATGTAACAACCAGCAATTAGGGCCTGGGACCCGACTTCTTCTAGGAGACCCTCAGAAGACTCCACTGACATCAGGTATCCAGCTTTCAGCTTGTTCCTGTCCAATAAAAGGCAGAAGTCAGTTTTATAGAGCAAGGCAATTCTTTTTTTTATCTGGGTGGTGGGGGGCTATGAGTATCAAAGCTTTATTTAATAGATGCAGTAATAGCGTGCCTTCCTCTTCCTGAATTTCCCCAAGAATACCACTCCCTGTTCTGGAACATCACATTAAAACAGTAAGTCTGAAGGGAAGAAGTCTCTTCAGGGTTGCCGAAGTGCCCAATTGAGGGCCCACTTTGGCCTCCATTTGAGGGTCCATATGCTTCTACAGATTGGGGTGAGACAGCTGGAAAGCTCCCAAATTCTTCTCAAGGCCTCTGGATCTGGTTGTGCAATCTGGATCCTCTGCACGTCACCGGCAAGTCATAGCATGCTCTTTCTCCTGCTCACTGGCACAGTGAGGAAGATCTCTCTGCTGTCGGTGGGAGGGCTGCCATCCACTGAGATGGCAGTAAAAAATGCATTTAATACACCTAACGTATCAAACACCATAGCTTGGCCCAGCCTATCTCATGTGTGCTGAGAATATTTATAATAGCCTATAGTTGGGCAAAAATCATCTAACATCAAGCTCATTTTATAAGAAAGTGTTGATTACTTTAAAGTGTACTGCATATCACTAGCCTAGGAAAAGATCAAAATTCAAGGTATAGACATACACTACATAATGACATTTTTGGTCAATGATGGACTACATATATGATGGTGGTCCCGTTAAGATTATTAGGGAGCTGAAAAATTCCCATTAATGACAACATAATGTTGTAGTGCAATTTAAAAAATATAAATTGAGTGCAGCCTATGTTTACAGTGTTGAGCATCTACAGTACTGTACAGTAATGTTCTGGGCCTTCCCGTTTACTCACCACTCATGCAGTGACTCACTTGAAAGCAGGAGCTTTCAGTCCTGCTAGCTCCATTCATGGTAAATGTCCTATATTGGTATACCATTTTTAACTTTTGTACTGTATGTTTACTGTACCTTTCCTATGTTTAGATGCACAAACACCTAACCATTGTGTTACAACTGCCTAGAGTATTCAGTACTATAGTACATGCTATACAGGTCTGTAGCCCAGGAGCAATAGACTGTACCATACAGCCTATGTGTGTAGTAGGCTGTATCAGCTAGATTTGTGTAAGTACACTATGAAGTTCACACAGTGATGAAACCACCTAACACCACATTTCTCAGAACGTATCCCCATCACTATGTGACACACGACTGGAAGCTGAATTGCGATGGTTTTGCACCATAGTAAAGTTGAAAAATTGTAGCTGATCCATGGCAAGTTGGGGACACTGTGTATTGTAAGCCTACCTTCTGGCTGTTAGAGTGTGCAGACCAGGGGTCTTAAAAACCCTGTCAAAGCACGGTGTCAGGCCTGGAGTTGGTGTCACCACAGACAACTCTAACTGGCCCATGGCTAGGGCCACAGTGTTATAAAGGCCACAGTCTTGACCTTTTCCTTTTGCCTTTTTCTTGTATGAACTGGGTTCTCTTCTTGGATAGAGGATAACTTTTGATGTCTTTTGACAGTTTGAAGATTCTCATGTTTATTTTCTTCTTACACTATCATTTCACTTGTATTACCTTTTGAGTTTTGGCAGGTTTCGGGGGTGTGAATAGCTTCTTCTGTTTATTTCTCTGATATCCATTTCAGCTGTTGCTGCCTCTTTTAGGCCCTGTTTGTTTCCACCAAGGGTGAAGTAGAGTCAAGCCAGTTCCTCTTAGAAATAGGGCAATTTTAAGGTATGTGCCCCAAAACTCTTCAATGTGTTTTTGGTAGAGAAGCAAACTAACAACTTACCGCGCTAACGGTCTCCATTCTATTTCTTCAGTTCGCCAAGCACTGCACTGTTTACATTACTGTTTGGAAAGGTGTCAGTACAAAACTATACTGAAAACTCCACAGACTGTGTTTTGATTTTGGACTAGACCTTAGATCTAGGTAAAACTATTTTAATCTGAGGTTTTGATTAGTGAAGGAACTCCTGCCTCTTGCTGAGATTTGTCTCAGTAAGCACAGGCCATGATGGAAAAGGCAGGTGGGGAGGGTAATACAGGTCTTGTAAGCAGCAGCAGCTTAAATATGGGCACAAAAGCTCCACTTGAAATAAAACAAAATCCAATTCATAATCCTCCCAGAAACTTATTCCTTATAGACATGGTGTTTGATAAGACAGTTGAGTTATTTAAGCCTCAAAAAAAGATCATCCTTTAACACTCTATAGCAAGACTTCCATTTAAGAATAACTACAATTTAATGCTGCAATTTTACCACGTTGTCAGCTTAGCTAAAACATTATTTTACCTGCAATCAACTACCAAGAGGTTATTAGTGTGTTTCTGCAGCAATGACACCTCACTTTCTCTTTCACTATAGAAAGATTAAGAACCTTACAAGACAAGGTATCAACTCCATCAAAATGGCAGAAAACATATCTTGACATTAATAATAAAATTCTACTTTCTACATATTACCATACCTTATGAGAACTGTGTTACACTTATTAAGAAAATATATTTTCTCAAATAAATTAGAAAAATTGAGGTTTTTCTTAAGTAAATCCAGTTTTTCAATGTTGTCTCATAATGTTTTGTTTCTGGTACAATCAAGCAGCCCTGCATCCTATCAATTCTTGGTTCTATGTATACAATATTTAAGAAATTGTGTTGTGCTTATACAAGAGATGCAACTTTGTAGTGTGCTCAGCATAACAAAACTAACAATACTAACGGGAACAGAAGTGACTAAAAGCTTGTTCCATCCTTGGTTGTAATTCACCCTGTCATGCTTCCTCTGTGGGCAAATACTAAATGATCATAACCACCACTGGAGTTGCAAGATTCACATTTTGAATTGTCCTAAGTAAATGGAGTCAAACTTAAATGTCTTAAACTGCTGTATGAAAATGCAGATTGGCCGGGCGCGATGGCTCAAGCCTGTAATCCCAGCACTTTGGGAGGCCGAGGCGGGTGGATCACGAGGTCAAGAGATCGAGACCATCCTGGTCAACATGGTGAAACCCCGTCTCTACTAAAAATACAAAAAATTAGCTGGGCATGGTGGTGCGTGCCTGTAATCCCAGCTACTCAGGAGGCTGAGGCAGGAGAATTGCCTGAACCCAAGAGGCGGAGGTTGCGGTGAGCCGAGATCGCGCCATTGCACTCCAGCCTGGGTAAAATAAGTGAAAACCCCCCTCAAAAAAAAAAAAAAAAAAAAAAAAAAAGAAAATGCAGATTGATCTCTAACTTTGTCCCAAGTCTG